GTTGGCCGCTAATCGCACCCTCCCCCCTTTCTTCAAGACTAAAGGCAAAGAGGTTGGAGCAGAAGAACCTCTTACCACAGTATTCAAAATTGGGACAGAAGAAGTCTCTGCTTCAGGCCATTGGGCAGCAAAGGGTTACTGCAGGAGGTCAAGGCCCTTCCAGAGGCTTAGTTTGGTCTCGCCTGCAGAGGAATTTCTTCCTCTGCTCCTGAAAACATCTGAAGAAGGACATCCAGAAGAGAGGCAGCCTGAGGTACTGGTGAGAGTATCATTAGGATCTGGGAGTCCCAGGTTCAAATCACATTCCAGTCTCTCTCAGCCTAACCTACCTCACAGGGTTGTTGTGAGGATGACCACAAAGGAACCGATGTTGTCAAATTGCTTTGGGTTCCCAAAGAGGAGGAAAAGGGGGTTACAATGTTCCCTCTAAGCTGTGGACTCTTTTGAGCAAAAATTCTACTTTGTGAGCTCTTGGCATTAAAGTTGTGAGCAAGCGATTTGGCTACTGCATAAATTAGTTTGCTCTGGAGCCCTCCTTCCTGAGCCGAGACAAGAATGTGTGAGCCGGAAGCTAAAAAACTGTGAGCTAGCTCACACTAACTCATCTTAGAGGGAACAGTGGTTATAAATACCAAAATGAATGTAGTTCAAGGACTGACACATTACACATATGCAAGACATTCAATTCATACTCTATATACTCAAGAGTCCTCTAGAAGCTCCATTGCGAAATCGTTGTTCTTCACTTACAAAAATGTTCTCATGCATCCCTACCTCCCTGAGCAATATGCAGGGGGCACTACAGGGTTTAGTTCCCTTTGGCCAGGACAGACTTGCCTTGTGGTATCTGTCCTCTTCTGTACAAAAATGAAAGGCATGTTGGGAAGAAAGCAACCTCCTAAGAACCTGCTGATCCTGCATCAGATTCCCAGAGGGTCCCTTTTCCACTCTCCAAGACTGTGCTCCAGTGTTAGTTAACTCCAGCCCCCCCCCCCCCCCACATCCATCTTTTCCTCTCTTGCCCCACGCAGCCTGCAGAGCCCCAGTCTAAGAGCCATAGCAGTCTGCAGTTTGTCACAAAAACAGGCCTCCTTTAGGAATTGGAGAGGCTTGCAAATAAGGCTGTGCAAAAAGCATTTTTAAAAGTTGACATAAAAGAAGAAACTTTGCTTAGGATAAAACAATACAGCTTGCGCAAAATCCTGCCTTATCAACCTTTTAGAATTCTTGGAGAATGTCAACAAACATGTTGTTATCTTCAGACTTAAGCTTTCAACAAAGTTTCTCATCTGACATTCCTAAGAAAACTTAGCAGCCATTCCTGTGCGTTCCTGCCCAAAAAGAGCCCTGTCAGCATGAAGGAGCTGGGGAAAAGAGGAGCAAACAGTGAAGCGGCCAGGTCTGGTGGGAAGATGAAAACCCACATGGATGGTCAAGAACTTTCAAAGAATCTCTCCAGACTGGGAGAATGGGCAACGATGTGGCTGGCAAGTCAGCTCAGCAGACAAACAAGGGCAGAGTGAAGTGCAAGTTCATATATACCATGATGGGGCCTGAAATGGGTGAGATTATCCAAGTAAAAAATGTTGGGATTAGCCCAATGAAAAGGGCAGCTCAGTGCAGTGGTTTTAAGGCAGATTCTATGCTAGTAATGATTATCCAAAATGAGTACTAGTAATACTCCAATAAAAGAGCCAGCATAATACTCTTACATAATAAATCCATTGCTGCAGCTGCATTCGGAATACTTTATACTGTTGTGGTCACTTTATCTCAAGAACTTTTGTGAGTCACTGCTCACTTCTTCAGTGAGCAATGACTCGCAAAAGCTCATAATTTCACAAAAAAAAATTGTTAGTCTTTAAGGAGCTGCGGTGGCTCAAGTGGTTAAGACGCTGAACTGCAGGCTGTGGAAGGTCAGGAGTTCAGGAGTTCGAGAACCGGGTGTGCTGCATGACGGAGTGAGCTCCCGTTTCTAGTTCCAGCTCCTGCCAACCTAGCAGTTCGAAAGCAAGAAATTGCAAGTAGATAAATAGGTACCATTTCGGTGGGAAGGTAACAGCGTTCCGTGCGCCTCAGTGTTTAGTCATGCCAGCCACATGACCACGGAAACATCTTCGGACAGCGCTGGCTCTTCAGCTTTGTAACGGAGATGAGCACCGCAACCCTAGAGTCGGATTCGACTGGCTTTGGAGCAAGGGAAACCTTTACCTAAGGTGCTACTGGATTCTTACTCTTTTCTACTGCTCCAGGGAGACTAATAGGACTACTACCCTTCTTGATTCATCTCGAGAAGAGTATCAGAGAAGGCATCTCAAATGATGGACAGCTTAGAGCGCCTTTCCTAATGTATTTGAGGCTTTTGGGTTCGGTGCAGAGGGGAAGACAACTAAGGGGAAATATAATAGACACACAATTATGCAAGAGGCAGAGAAAGTAGACAGGAAAAAAATAATACTAAAATTTGAGGTCATCTAATAAAGTTGATTCAGGACAGACCAAAGGAAATCCATCTTTACACAACGTGCAATTAATTTATGGAAGTGACTGCCACATAATGTGGTTACAGCCACTAACCAAGATGGCTTGAACAGAAGATTATGTGAGTCTATCAGGAGCTATTGGCCATGATAGATAAATGGAACCTCCACGTTTAGAAGCAGCATGTTCCTCTGAATCCCATCTGTTGAAGGCATCCTGCAGGAGATTGTTTCCTTCATATCTCGCTTGGGACCGTCTCGAAAACCTCTGACCGTGAAAAAAGGATGGTGGTCTGCATGTACCCCTGGATCTCTGATGTTCTGATGGAGCCATTCTTTGGGGGCTGTGTATATGCGGGAGAAATGCTCGTTGCAAAGGGTCATTACACTTAAGTGTGATCATCACAGAATCATTTTAGCACATCATCCCTCGGCTCCTCCTCTTTTCCCACAATCCTCCACTTGATTCAGGCACACAAAGAGATGGGAGGCCCGACTGCCACACTGGCAGAGAGTGAGCCATTATTATTATCAATTACATGAGCAGGAAAAAATCGCTCTCTGACTTCACTACCTAAAATAGTTTTTGTTCTTACTTTGAAAGGAATGGAGCAAGTGAAGGTCTGGACAAGGACTCAACCTTTCTCCCAGCCTCTCTGAGGGAGAGTCCACACCCAGGAGGAACCGGCTCTGCCTCCTCCCTATTTATTTAAAGGCAGAGGTAAGCAGGGTGGCCTACGATGACGTCAGCTCCCATCTCCTACTGCTGTCCAAAGATACTTTTTTTTTTTTGCTATGATACAGACGATCTTACAAAATTAGCAGTTCGTGTCACAACCTTGCAGTGCTGTTGCCATATTTGTGGCTGTACCTGTAGATGCGGTTGCGGATAATCCAGCCCCAGCTGGGCCCATTGCCTGTGCAGAAAAGTGCCAATTCTGGTTAAGGGAATTCCTGGAGATTTGAGGGCATTGACTTGGGAGAGTGGAGTTTGGCGAGGGAGTTCAGCAGAGATGTGGGACTCTAGGACTCCCATTTTCCCTAGACTCTATGGTATACCATAGACCCGCTCTCCAAACCTGCCATTTACTCCAGGAAAGCTGATCTCTGTAGTCTGGAGCAGTGTTACCTCTAAGCTGTGGAGTCTTGTGAGCAAAAATTCTATTTTGTGAGCTACTGGCATTATAGTTGTGAACGAGTGATTTGGCTACTGCATAAATTAGTTTGCTCTGGAGCCCTCCTTCCTGAGCCAAGGCAAAAATGTGTGAGCCGGAGGCTAAAAAACTGTGAGCTAGCTCACACTAACTCAGCTTAGAGGGAACACTGGTCTGGAGATCAGTTGTAATTCCAAGCCCCACATGAAGATTGACAACCCTAGCATGTCATTCGTGCTGTATCTGAAGAAGTGAGCAGTGACTCACAAAAGTTCATACCCTACCACAAATGTTGTTAGCCTTTTAGGTGCTAGTGGACTCTTACTCTTAGACCATGTAGTTGTTCTTGACATCTGAACTCACATTGAAAGTTTAATAGTATCCCAGCGAGCTAGGCAGTCAGAAAGAAACATTCAGTCCCATAATTATTTAATGCCATTCTCCTTAATGCTGTGCAGTGTTTTAAAGCTGGCCTTCCAATTCTTTGAGATGTGGACAGTCTCTGCAAACACCTACTCAGCAGGTTGTCCAAGGGCCCATGTTCCCTTGGCCCTCTGCCCACCTGACTGACCTCACACAGCCAGGGTTCTTATCACTACTGTTTGAACAGCAAATAGTGAGTCAGCACCTGCTAGAAAGGGAAGAGTAAGGGGGCTGGACATGGTGTGGAGGTGGGGCACACAGATCTTGTGGAAGGGGAGGGCTGGTGTCGATGACCGCTTGCAGAAGTGTTGCCCTACTTAGCAACATCAGCCCTGATCCAGCATGACCAGGAGCTGAGCAGGACTGTGCTGAGCATGTGGACTGGCTCTGAGTGAGGCAAGAGTGCAGACAAGGTCCAGCGAGATCTTTTCCAAGAGGTGAGCAGGCCAGAGAACAGGTGCCGGAAAAGGGGAAGCGCAGCAAGCTCTCAGAGTGAAAATGGTGCAGAAATGGTTAGATATGTAAAGAAGGCACTCAGTGTCCCCCTCCATTGCTTTCATGCCCCTCCCTGTCTTCTCCTCTCACTCTGGTCCCTGGCCCTGGAAGCTCAGTCAAAGCTAAAGTTGTGCTGTACAAGTTGAGTCATTTCTGGGCAGGGTCCCGGAGGGAACAGGCATTGGTGCCGGTGGTCACATCCTGTGAGCGGCTGCTGCAGAGAGAAGCAAGAGGGAGGGAGGCCCAGAAGACACCTTTTGGAGCCAAACTGTCTGAGGAGCTTTGCTCCCGTCTCTGTCTTCCTTTGCATCAGGCTTAACCTGACAGAGTGTTATCACGTGAACACACAAAGCTGCCTTATACCGGTCCATCAG